GCGTAAGCGTTGGACTAGGTCTAAGTAAATCACTCTATACATGAATTGCGTATTGATCTCAAGTCAAAGGACTATTACACCATTCTACACACCGTTACTCGCATAGACACATAAACAAATGATTTATCGGTAGGGTATACCAATACTCTCTAAAGTATCCATGTGTCCATCACGAATAACAATTATTCATAGTAGTGAGACATACTATATTCTCGAAGAATGTGATGCAGACCACATGTCAATCTATAACGTATCATTAATATCCCTTTCTTAATGATCATTGATTGAGGAAATTTAAGAGTTATACTCTATCGATTAACATCTCACTCTGTTAATGACAGTATTAACTCAAGGGAGCATTTAATTAATAAATTACAGACAATCAAAAGAATTCATTAATCAATGCAAAACCACGAATATCATCAAATATAATATGAATGTGATCAAGTACATTTGTCCCATATTGATTGTCTCTAGGACACATATACTAACACACGAGGCATTGAGGATGACATACAACCAGGAAGTGATTGAATACCGAAAGGGAATTGATGTCCTTACCAAGAAGAACAAAGCACTTTAAGACCAGGTCACTAAACAGCCTAAACTGACCGAGAAACTTGCTGAGAAGGAGAAGGCTCTGGTGCCAGTGGCCCCAACACTCACTTATCATGAGCTCCGAGATCAGTATAAGAGGAATTCTATGAGGAGTTGGAAGTCGGTGCTGCCTTTAATATTAACTGGGTCGTCCAACGTATCAAACACAATATCCTAACCCTCGACGACTTTCGTGAAATCATATTTATGAAAGCCAACCGTACGAGCTTGAAGAAAATTTCAAGAATATGGTTATAAATAATGATCCTGATGAGGTTCTTATCGACTGGGCTAAAATGTGATAGGTTGTTCACGCCGAGGTGAGGATCGAAGACCTTACACCAAAGCAGGTGAAAGAAGTGTTCCCAATAGAGACTGAAGAAAAGGGTACTCAGCCCGGGGAAGAAACAGAGCCGACCAAGGCGACAGAACAAGAAGTCCTTGTTGACCCCGAGGTGGAACCCGACACAGTACCAACCCGTGAAGATGTTGAAGCGGATGTCGGTGTCGGATGCTGCCGAAGGTGTCGAGCCAACGACAACCCGGAATGTGCCTTCCCTTGAGACTTCAACCAATGTTTCTCATCCTGACCCTAAGGGGTAAACTGCTATTATTTTTGTTTTTCGAACCATGAACTATTTTATATTTTGTTTTCGAGTTTGCATCAAGGCCTAGGTGCCTTTTTTAGTTGTTAGTCATGTGTGGCCTAAGACTATTTATGTTATTTGTAATTTCTTATGTGTGATATGATGCTTTTGGATTCTGTAGTCTGGTTTGTGGGAAAATTCGGTGCTACCCTTAGGGGCAGTGCAGTCATGCCTCTAGCGACCCTTGATTTTACATACACCCATGTGGGTGTGTGTGTGTACGTGTATGAATCAAGGGCCCTAGGGGCATGACTGCACTACCCTAGGGGTAGCATCGCCCCTTCCCTGGTTTATGGCCGGATGATTAATATTAATATCTTGTTTTGTCTGTTTCTTGTTTTCTTTCAAAGTGATTTGGCCGAGTGCTTCGGGCTCGGCATTTACCCTTTTGTTTAATTTCCCATTTACAATCGAGTCGAATACTTACCTTAACCAACTTATATTTGTTTTACCTTCTGAATTATTTCAATGTGTTGGCGTTCTTTTGAGCTATTGAGATGAGATTTAAGTTTAGATCTTGAGATATTATAATATGTTTCATGAATTATTATTTGAACTCTTGAGATGAGAGTTGAGAAGTTGAGATCCCACATTATTTGAGTAAGTAGATGAAGACAATTTTTAAAGTAAAGTAGTTCCGCTGTTTAGAAGAAGTGGTTTCGCTGTAGTGCCTTAGAAGATAAGACCGCGATTGTTTATCAATTGGGCTCAAATTTTACTGAAATTGGGCTTATTTTACTGTAGGATCTGTGATTGGATATCACTATGAAACTACTTGTGCATGGCCCACAAAACCCAACAACAACAGAACACGGTCTGCCTTTCCCACTCCCCAAGAAACCGACACCACTGCAGCCATTTATTTCGATTCTTCCTCTTTTTGACTTCTTTTTCCCACATTTCAAATCGAATTAGTTGTAATTCAAAGAAGTCGATAATCGCCCTCAATAAATTCGTCCATAATCACCTCTGAATCAATGGATTTCTCCCCTCCACGAAATCACCCGCCGATATCACGTGAAGCGGAGGCCGAAGCAAGAACCGATTTCCCAGCTGAAGACACTACTGAAAGCACCGGTAGCGTCTCCGTGACATCTCCGAAAAAAAAGAGACTCCGGCCAACAAAGGTAGTGCATACTCCTTTTCTCCTCCATTCATTTGTTGAAGATTACTATGTTGATGTTACAATCCTTTGATAGCAAAATTTGGGGTGGGTAAATGGAGACGGTACCCAATAAAAAAAAAAAAGAAAACATTACGGTAGGACCCTAGGGTAAATTTGGGTCTGAGGTTCATTGCCATTATATCTTACCTTACAATTTTATATATTTTTTTGTTGATGTTGTCGTCTTTATTGTAGCCAGCATATGATGTATAAAATATGAATCTCCAACCACCCTCTTGTGGCATTTGTTATTATGTTACCTTTATTTTTGGTTGTCAGGATTGCAGATTAAATACGATTGATTTGTACATGTGAAGCATAGCATAGAACATTGTATTTGGTTTGTTTATTTGCCATATTGCAGATGTCATTTTCGGGTGGTATTGGTCCTTCGACTGACTGCAGTCAAGGAGACGCCAAATGGCCTCCCGAAAATGAAGCCGCTTTTGTCAATGTTCTATTGGACGAAATTGTGATGGGAAATCGTGTAACCGGTAAGTTCACACCGAATCAATGGGCGACCATTCTTGCGAAGTTCAAGGAGCAGTGTCCTATTCACTATCCTTACAAAGTCGCACAAGTGCAAAGTAAGTACCAACGAATGAAGGTGTATTGAAGAAAATTTCACAACATGGTTACCAATGCCACTGGATTGAGTCCACATAAAAAAAATGATTACTGGAGACGCTGATGGTTGGCGAAACTGGACAACCGTAAGTATATTTTATGGTTTGTTACAAGTATTTTCTAAGTTCAATTAGTTTATCTGACAAGTATTATAACATACAAGTGTTTTCTATGTTCAATTAATTATCTGACAAGTGTTATAACATACAAGTGTTTTCTATGTTCAAATCTGACAATTGTTATTTGCTTCCTTCAACTGTGTTGCAAATATACAAGTGTGGCATGTACACCTGTTTTCATTACCTTTTTATTTTCTTTGGTTATAATGTTCTTTGCTTCAATTGTCTTCGAAATATAATGTGGCTTGTACACCTTTTGTTACTTATTTTTTTTTATTTTTTATGTATAAGTATTATTTCATTTCAGCTGAAACATAAAATTGGTCTCTTGTACATATATATGTTGGCCTTATTATGATTGCCATTTTGTTACTTTGCAAATACATATATGTCTTGTACTGCTTATTTCGTGGAGAATATTTGTATCAACGAATGTTGGTGTTCTTGTAGTGTTATTTCCCTTTTTTTAAAAAAAAAATCACTGTTTTATGACGTCCACAGGCAAATCCGAGTTATCATGACATGGAGGGCAAAGTATGTGTGCACTACGAAGCGTTGACGACTATTTTTCATGGGACGACTGCTACGGGGTCGAATGCAAGGGCATAGACTCAATGTGTGCCCGAGGGACGTGGTGAGCCATCTGGAAATTTCAGCCCCGATGTTTTTACGCAGCAAGATGACGAACCAATGGAGACCCCGACATCTCATCGACGGCATGCTGGGCAGAATCGGTCTGTTCGTCGAAGGAGAAGCACGGAGTCCAGTTTCGACACCGCCATGTACTCATGGTCCGACTTGAATGTGTCGCTGAAAGAAAGAAACAACAAACCCGTGAAGCTAACAACGATGGAACAGGCAATGCGCGACCTCCAAGCTATGCCGAATATGGACGAAGATCTTTTCCAGTTTGTTTGCAATGAGCTCCGGGATTCCACGAATCGAGCCATGTTTGCGACGATAACTAGTGACGAGAGGCGTAAACATATTATTAATATATGGATTAATGAGGGACCCCGGTTCACAGTGAAGGGGGATGTGGATTGGTGGATTGGTTTTTAACTATTGTTTTCATTTCTTGTTGGACTTGACTGTTTTCTATATTTGTCTTCAACTCTACTCTGTTTGAACTTTGTTTCCTTGCTACTCTGTTTCATTTTTTCTGCATGATTAATGTGAGAATTTGTTTGTGAACATTTGTATATGTGTTTTAGCCACTATTATATTTATTTGTAGGATGTCTTACGTAGATGATAGTGGCACATATGAAGAGGAGATCGATGATTTGCCTGAGGACATTGACAGCGAATTCGAGACAGTGGAAGACTACGACCCGTTGGAAACTTCGTTAATGATGGGGGCTCAATTTCAAAAACTTGTAAACATTTACGACAGTTCGTTGACCATGACACTATTAAAATGTTATACTGTAGTTAAAGTAAATACAAGTAGAAATTATGCTAAGTACATTTCTTTAAGTACAAAAGTTATGTTCATGCAGGTAAATTCTACGTGGTGGACTCCGGATATGCACACATTTCGGGTTCCATGACACCATATCTTGGTGAAAGATATCATCTTCCGGAGTGGTTGGGGTCTAACCAATTGTCCGACAATGCTCGTGAGTTGTTTAACAGACGACATGCCACTGTCCGTAATGTTATTGAACGCAGCTTTGATTTGCTAAAAGGGAAGTTTCCAGTGATAAAGGGGTTGGTGCCAAACTACAAAGTTCACTCCCAAACCGACATAGTAATAGCATGTTGTGTCCTACACAATTTTATTCGGATGCATGAACCGCTCGAAAACATGCCACCTGAATTCAGCAACCCAGAATACGAACGACGACATGATCCAACTGATCGAACTTTCCCTTTTATGTCGAGTAATAACTCCAACGTTGGCGCTGGTGAGCATTGTGTGTTGCGTGACACGATAGCCCAAGCATTATGGGCGAACCGAAGATAAAAGAACCATATGTATTGATGAAACCTGTTGGGTGTGTCTTGTATTAATGAAAACCCAAGAGACCAGTCGGTGTTTATTTTCTATCTATTAATGATTGAAATTAATGAAAACCGTATTTATCTTTTTTCTTCCGTCGAAAATTGAATTTACAGTGTCTACGCTTATAACATTCCCGTCCAAGTCGACGTGTATGATATGTCTATATATTTTTGATAAATTTCATTTTATAGTTAATTATAGTTTCTACTAATTACATGTTTTTTCATTAATTCTAAATTAAAAATGAAAGAGAAAATTGAAATCAAGTTATGTTGCACAACTATAATAGTAATTAATAAAATAATTGTTAATAAATAATTGCAATCAGGTTTTGATGTTTTCAAAATGTTTAAACTGATATAAGTATAATTTCGTTGGGACATTATATATATAATATATATATATAT